TCTTCATCTCTTTCAGATAACTCTATGAGCTCTTTAGACTGTGAGTATTTCATTTCTCTCCTCAGTTACTCTTTACTGTGTCTGTATATGCAACTTCTATATAAGTTAAAGCCATGGGAAATGTATTTTGGGCACTAGACAGTAGTGATGAATGCTACAGAACTCAACTTGTGACTGTGTATACCTGAGCAGGTGGTGTAGCTGCCCTCTATTTCCAGACAAACTTTATTTTTCTCTGTGGCTCTGGCTATTTTAACCAGAGTCATTTCTCTTCGTGATAAGGAAACCTTCCCTGGGGCTGATTCTCCTCTGCTCTTGTTGTTAATGAGGCCCAAAGAGAGAGCTGTTTGTTTAAATGTTGCTTAAATGTTAGCGGTACAGTTGAATCAGCAACTGTATGTTTTAGCTGTTGATGTCAGTTTGTCATGTCCCCAGCCCCAGAAATAGACGAGGCCGCGGTGATGCAGCTGGCAGAGATGGGCTTTCCACTGGAGGCTTGTAGGAAGGCTGTCTACTACACAGGCAACATGGGCCCCGAGATGGCCTTCAACTGGATCATAGCCCACATGGAGGAGCCTGGTAAGGAGACATCACTGCATGAGAACTATGCACTGAGGCACCTGGTGGATGCTTGGTTAGCATAGTGAGTGAACACATGCAAGTGAAGTACCTAAACAAGTTTATCTGCAGCAAGGTAATAACCGAACTGGAAGCAGAAAGAGGAGCATCGCACTGTGCTCCAGTTTGTTCATACTGCCCATTTACAATCCAAATGGGGGTATGAAGGTTAAGCTTTACCTCCCACTCTTCATCCTGCAGGATGCTAGCACTATGTAGGTCTTTCATGGATGACAATTAAAATTATAATATGTTATCATGTATCATACTGTATGCACCATGCCTTCTTTGTAAAATTCCCTTTATTGGTTTTTGAACATGTCAGTAATGAATGAAAATGCAGTACACACACAAGGATCACAGTACAGCAGAAAGACGCTGCACATCATCTTCATGTAAATCACACTTTATTGGGTTTTCACACAGTGTTAAAGATGATACAGTGTCTGTTTCAGCATTTAGCTATTCTTTATCGAAATCTAAAATATTACAGTCAGAGGATCTGGTTGTATTGGATATCCAAAAATCAGAGACTTTTTGCATAATCTTAGGTCAGTTTTTAAAAGATTATTCACATGAAAATATGGTGCATCTCTGCCTTCGGAGTTGTCTGGCAGTCCTGTAGTAAGGCAGCTAATTCCTGAAAACATGACTTGAAATAGTCATGCCATGAGTGTTGATAGTTAAATAGGTAAGTGGAACCCAAAGATGCCAAAAATACTAGTGATAAACGGTCAGAACAGCAGCGGCACTGAAAGAGCCACAGTTCTGCAACAGTTTCAGTAAACTGAGTCTGCACACTTTAAGAGATGATCATGAGATCAATGCACTTTGTTAAAGGCAGACAAAATGCTGTTACACAACAAAACAACCGGTTATGTGACATTCCTTGTGCAGACAGTTACAGAATGAAAAGACTGTTTAGCAAACTGGTGCACTCACGTATGATGTTTAGCTTTTTAATCTACACAAATCTACCAAAAAACATTTTTGCAGCACGTATAGCTCCTTTTACTCTGAGATGCTGACAGAATACATTAGCTGGAGAAGCAAGGCAGGCTTTATTTGTATGGGACCTTTGAAACACAAAGGTAATTCAAAGTGAGAGACACTCCACATCTCCAGTTTTTCCATTACATAGAGATAAATGAGAGGTGTTTTTGCAAGTGTCAGACTTTGCATCCCTTTGTGTGCTTAGCTGTGTGTTTCTGTGTGTGAGATCTTCACCAGAAACTGACGGAGCCGACTCTGTCTCTCATAGAGCTTCTCAGCAGTAGAGACATTCCCCTGAGGTCTTAACTCATGTCACTTTTATTTCCCTGGGTGACTGTAAAGGGCCTCTACAGTGGAGGGAAATTAGAGCAGCCCCCTGCCTGTTAGTTTTCAAATGGGCCTAATGCATCTGCAAAACGAGCTGCATTCAGGCTCAGTAGCATCAGTAAAACCGTGTCCTGGTTTGTTGCCAAAGGTCACTTTTTCTTCTTCACCCCCCAACACTTGGTTGGTTTCAGCTTATTTATTTTCTACCAAACCTGTCATGTAATCATGTTTAGGTGCAGCAGGAGTACCACAGAACATTCCTTTTTGACTGAAGTCAACCTTAAAGAGATGCAATTGCAAATTTGCACATCTTATTAGAGGTGTATTTCCAAACTCAATTATTATATTTGTTTATGAGGTTACATTATTTTCTAGTGAATTTGGTGGAAATGAGCCCCATTGAACAGAGTGGGTAAACGGCTTTAATAAAGGAAGTGATGAGATGTTTTATTTCTGTGTCTGCAAGACCGCTGTCTTCCTGTGGTATAAAAACAACTGTGTAATAGGCAATTGAAAGGATGCAAGATAAGGAGGCTGAGATAGAGATGGTAGTGGGAGATAAGTGGGTATGCATTTTCATTTATGGCGAGGACAGCAATGAAGGCCACCAAAGGCATGGATTTACAGTAGGACTGTCCTTGTTCCCAGGTTGAGGGTCACTTCACTTTCTATCTATTGAATCTATTGAAAGTGCAAAAAGACCTTCAGTTCATTTAAAAAAAATTAGAAATACTTTGGTATTTTATGCAGTCTGTAATCTTTTACAAATAGTTTTTGAGTGGTCAATTGTAGCAGATGCTTTGATGTAGACCGTGTTTCTCCCTGGTGTTTTCTTCTGAACCCAAACGATATCAGAAAGCTTCACCTTTCCAGACATGCACTCAGAAATACTGACTTAGGAGCTTGACAAACATTCAAAATTCTTACCCATATATAACTAGCTTTATGGACAGCAAAATCCAAGACAGAGAAGAAAATAGATGTTTCACTTGTTTAGGAAAATTGAACCTGTGTATATGTTTGGCAGTTTTGTGTTTTATGCCTGTGCATGAATTGAACAGCAGTCCAACCTCCTTCACACACTGAGAGGACTCTGTAGTTCTGCCGTTGTTGACATTTTTCATTGTCAACATATATTTTTAAGTCAGCAGATGCTGTCGTGTCAGCAATTATAGAAGTTGCACACTAATGAATTTCAGTTGCAGGAGGCATCTGGCAGCTTTATTCTATTACAGTTCACAGCAAAACAATAACTAGATGTTTAGTTTCTGCTAAGTTTGACAAATACAGCCGTTGACTGGGTTAAAATGAACTTGAGAGCTGCAACATCTTTGTCTCTTCTCAGACTTTGCAGAACCTCTCACTCTGCCCTCCATGATGGATCCTGGTCCCTCCGCTAGTGACAGCCCCATGGGTGCCACCCCGATGGGCAACTCACCTCCTGAGGAGAGCGTTGCCATCCTCACTTCAATGGGCTTCCCTCGTTCTCACAGCATTAAGGCACTGAAATCCACGGTCAGTCTTCTGCCCGCTGTTCATTGTGTATACTAATAATTAACTTTTTTCTATTGGCTGGTGCTGAGATTTCTTTTCCAGGTGCCATTTTTCTTTTTCTAATAATTGGTTTCTGCCAGCTGATAACTCAGGCTTATTCCTTGACATTCCTTATAAAGAGGAGTCTGTTTACATCTTATCAACGTCAGTTTGAGTTTCTACATTTACTGCTGCAAACACCTGGGGCCTAATGCATCTTCCCCTGTGACTGAAATCCTCTACTGCGCACAAAGAGATGTATTGTGTTAGTGGAGGTGATAACATTGATTTGTTTTGAATGAACACAAGGGGAACTGGGCAGCCAGCGTGGGCAGTAATGGTCACCATGTCTGAAGTGATAAAGAAAAGGAGTTTTCTATAGGTGGTGCTCATTATTCAGTTTGTTTCTCATAGAGACAATTAATAGTTACAACTCTGAGAACAGAGTGCAGGGCAAAACACCACAGCGATGACTGCCCGGCACCACAAAGGAAAAAGAAAAGAAATGGTAAAAGTTATTCACTTGTGTTGGAAAATCATACAACAAAAAAGTACACCTTGTCACCCACTGAAAATGGAAAGGAAAGAGAAATATAGAAACAAAAGTGGCAAGAGTTCATGACAAAGCAGGTGGTGTTTGAAAAGAGGGCAAACAGAGGGTAAGATGATGAAAATCGAGCTCTGTGGCTTGGCTGGCCTACTTGTGTGAGTTCCAACCTGCAAGGTCCTACATGTCAGGGTGATTAAGGATGTCTGCTCTTCGTGGTGTTTACAAATAGTCCCAGCAGCACACGGACGCCTCCACTGACGCAGCCATTCAGGTGTAGGACCACGAGATCTGCCAGGAACATGCAGAGCCATTTTATCATCACCTTCCACAAGTGTACAGTACAAAAATATACTTTTTAATATCAGTCAAAAGTAATGCAGCTGCAGCAAATTCATGAGCTCCCTTCTTTTTGAAATGGCCCCTCATACTCGTGTTTCATATTTCAGACTGCCCCCTCAGCAAAAATAGCCCAACAGACTGTTAGTAAGACTTGGAAATGGACACCAGGCTTCCTTGTTGATTGTCCCTGATGACACCAAACTCCCTGCCACCTACAGCACAGTTGAAAAACATATTGCTCGTGGGAGAAGTGTGAAGCAGAGAGGGGTCTCACAGCTGGTAGATTATTAGCCCAAAATTAGGAGGAAGAATTTGACCTGAGAGGGAGAGACGGTGAAGCAGGCAGCCAGCCAATCCTCATCCCCATGTGCCTCTTAGACAGACATTGTCCAGGAATCGCACCTCTATTTTGGAGTCAAAGCAAACATCATCAGGGGAAATTTAGCACAGATGGATGCTTGCCACCTTCCTGTAAATAACTGCTCATTTTAACATGTTCAACACTGTACTATTTTTGAGTGTGCCCAAGATACAACAGAGAGCACCGGAGACAGAGAGAGCGAGAACAAAGTGCAACATAAAAAAAGTCTAATCCTCAGCCCTGACTGTGTCCTCATGTGCATTGTTTGCAGGCCATATGTCCTCTATGTGCTAAGAGTTCCTGTTGATAGTAGTACTTTTTTTAAAGCATAGCCACTATTATGCATCAGTTTCTGTACGACATGTACAACAGCAAGACTAAAGATTGTGTGAGTTATAAAATGTTGTCTATTTTAAATTTACAAATGCACCATTGACATTTAAAAACAAATATTAAACTTGTATTTAGTGATATATATACATATACATATAAAGGCATTTCAGCTGTTGATGTCCATGAACTTAGACTGTTTTGGGATATTTTCAACATCTTTAAGAACAACAACCTTGAACGAGCGCTCGACTGGATCTTCACCCACCCAGAGGAGGAGGAGAGTGATGCCCTGTCAGACATGGCTGACACAGAGCCCAACGACAACGCTTTCTCCAATGCCACCTCACACAGTGACTCCATGATGTCGCCAGACAGAGACACGTCAGGCCCGCGAGTCAAAGATGGACCGGGACGTGAGTCACTCTGCAGCACTGACTTTGCTGCTGTATCTATTTGTATCCCTTATCTAAATGTACATCTAGTAATCCCTGAGTTGTATCTGTGACCAGGAGTATTACCATGGCATTTTTCACAACTTTCACAGTTAATTTTCCTCTTGAAAATCAGCTTAATGCCTCATCTTCTACTTAAAAAAGTTAAATATCTAAACCACCCTCTTAGGTTAGTTCATCATAAATTCTAGTTGTGATTTCTCTTTTTTTTTTCAGGTTATGAGCTCCTTGCCTTTATCAGCCACATGGGAGCTTCCACAATGTCTGGACATTATGTTTGTCACATCAAAAAGGAGGGAAGGTGAGTTGTCTACCGTCTCATTTCTTCTTTTTTTATTGTGGAATAAAGCTGACACTAAATGGTGATCAAAATCAACAAAAAGACTCCTCTCCTAATGAATGTGTGTTCTTTAACATTACTACTCCAAATTGAATTATTAGTTTTATTATGAAGCTTTTGCCTCCAGAAGCCTGGAGGTGAATCATTCAAAATCACAATCTGTTTAGATTGAATAGGAAAAATACATAAATAAATTGACCCCATTTCCTTCTTCCTCTATTGCCGTTTAGAAGTGAGCAACACACACAGCACAAACATAATATGTGCCTTCCTCAAATGTTCCTCCTCCTGCAGGTGGGTGATCTACAATGACCACAAAGTGTGTTTGTCAGAAAGGCCTCCAAAAGACTTGGGCTACATCTACTTTTACCATCGACTGTCTAGCAGTTAAACTCCCATGCCCTCCACCCTGCAGCCTTTGAAAGAAGCACAGCCTTTCACTCAGAAGACTGGCAGACAAGTGCAATAACAGCCACAGTGGAAATAACTTCTCAGACCAGCTGCTTGCCTTATCGTGATGTCATTCAGGAGCAACCAGGAACACTAGTCAGAAAGGGAAAGCAATGTGCTTTTTGTGAGTTTGTGTTACATTATGCTTTAAATGTATATTTCAGTGTTTTATTTAAAAAAATCAGAGGGATGTGTGCAATTTCCACTAATGTACTGCTTTGTACACAAAATAACATCACATATCATATATGTTCCTCCTCTATGCCTTCAGCCACCAGTATTTTCAAAGTGGTACATTTTCTAAACATATTTTGAAACGGCAGTGCTCTGAAACTGCAACAGCAAACACAAACATTTGATGAGAAATGTCCTACACTGTGGTAGTCTGGCCAAGTTGTCAATATAGTCAATATTTCCTTCCCTGAAAGCACTTTTTGACTAAAATTTGTTTTGATTTTGCACCAGATGCAGTAGAAGTGGACTTGTTATTCACCAGCAATTGAATGTGATATCTTAAATTTCAACTTCAGTACCGCTGAACCTGTTAAACCTCAAAGTGGCCATTAGTCTATGAAGAGATTGCATTAAACTGATGCATGATAGAAGCAAAGCCTATTTATGACCAAATCATGTCATATAGAAGTCCTCTATCCTGCAGTGAATTTCTTTTATTTTTGCCCAAATTGCAAAATATTAGCATAGCAGCTACAGAAATAAAATAAAAACCCTTTGCCAGCTGCAGCCAGCTCACTGTTGTTCCTTTATGAATATGACAGATTCACTTTGAACCAAAAGGTAGAATGAAAATTTCCCATGACCTGCCACCAGCTTTCTACAGGTCAGTTAAATGTTTTATGCATCAGAGCTGTTTTGACATCTAAAGCGGTATGCACTGCAATCAAATCTACTCTTAAGCCTTCTGCGTATGATGAGAGCTGCACAGCGACTTTGCCTCCTCTAAAATGTCCTCTCTTGTACTTGTGACAGACACAGTGCAGTGCTCAATGTACAGCTTCATGGTGCTCCACAGCCTTGTCTTCGGCTTTAATACTGACAAATCACAGTGAATGTAGGACTGGCCCTTTGCTGTTTGGTCACGATCATGTCATTGGATTATCCACCACCTCTATGTTAAATGTGCAGGAGAATGTATGTGCTCACATGAATTTACAGCCTCTTGACTGTCAATAGCATCTCAGTATGCTACATGAAACTGGACTTTAGTCTGATGCATCTCAAAATGTTAGTGTAATATTACAAAGTACTGGATTTTTGTTGGTGACATGGACAGTTAAGTCCTTGGCATGTGGTGAAACTGTATTTTACTCAGTGGTGCACTTTTAGGTGCATATTTAAAGGGGAGTTCAGCTAATAATTGACTTATTCTGCCTTCCTAAAATGTTCATCCATCTGGTTTTTACCTCCCATATTCAAGGTGAGAACAGTCCTTTGTCAGTAAATTGGCATTAAGAGGATCGAATGGGTTTGAAAAATAGACAAACATAAACTTTAAAAGTGACTGGAATATAATTGTCCTTAAAAATGTCTTCCAACAATCAGGCTTTCAAGAACAGTCTTTCTTTGAGGGCTAATGACTTCATAGACCAAAAAAAAGTATATTGAGGTATTCAGATAAGCATTTACTTTACAAAATAAATGCATATCTTAGCACTTTGGTGAGCAGAGTGTCAGTCTTATTAAATCTTGACCTCTCATCCTCATCAGATGCTACCTGATAAAATGCTGCAGTGTTCATCGTCTATGCAGCTCTCTATGCAAGTCCAGTGTTTCTGCAGTTCTTCCTATAAAAAAAGTAATTTTTTTTCTCAGAAACCAAATCGGTTCTCATCAGTAGATAGGTGGTAAAGTTGTCTTGTTAAGCAATGTCTTCAGATATTCTGACCAGTTCTCCCTCATTCTCCTGATGATGTTGCATTTAGTAGTTTTGCCTTTTTGCTTCACCTTTCCCTCCAGCTTGGTCTCTTCCATTCTTTTCCTTTACATTGTCAAAATGTAGCAGCTCAGCTGTCACTCAGAGGCGTTTTCACTGTCAGCATGTGCACGAGACATTGACATTTAGTCATCTGGGTTGTACAATTATACTTTTGTGAGTTTTATTCTCTTTTTTTTTTCATTTATCTGAATGTCAGAAAGGTTCTTCATCTGTTTTTACTCTGTTGCCTTTTTGCAAACAAGTTTGTGCCAGTTGTGTAGTTTTCATTACATAGTTTCCCTGAAGAGATGATTTTAAGTTGACTTTTGTAATGTGTTTATCCAAATATGGCTTAGCTGTATGTGAATAGAGTCATGACAGTACAGTATACCCAGTGGCACTGTTTACTTACAATGTTTGGATAATTTAATAAACTACACCTTTGTTGAGACTTGGCTTCTTTAAGAATGAACAAGAAACTACAGTTCAAAGGTGACTTCTTTTAGACAATAAGACAAAAGCACAGAGAATATAACAGTTTATTTTAAAAGGTTACTTTCATATTGTACATTTTCAAAGGTGCTAATGCTTTCCTTGTGATTATACAGGGAGAGTAATATGCATTACAGTAAGTGTTTCAGTAAATGAATTACTGTATATAAAGTATATCATTTTCTAAGTTAATCAAAATATTTTATTCATACATCTGATGCATCGATTAATAAACCAGGATAAAATGCCTTTGTACATGTTGAATTGAGGAGTGAAGAAAGAAATGTACGACATGTACTGATAACCTTCATGAACCCCAACCAATGAAGCAGTTATTAGCAATTTATGAAGGCTATATAGTGTGTGCATGAGGACTAAGCATATCTAGAAATTACTACCACATTACCATCAACAAATATTTTATAAATATGGAGAAAAGAAGTGTTCAAAGTGGAACACATTAACAGGGCGTATCAGTAAACCTAACCAATACATTTTACAAACTCAGCAGAGTAGTGTGAAATGTTTCATTCCGCCTTTTCACAAACATAATATTTAACAGTTTCTTTTCCAAAATCTGTTTCTATTTCATAGTGGCATTTCCCCCAATAACCGTTTTATTTCATAATGCCACTTTTTATTTCAAAATCTTTGTCCGTCAATCAAGATGAACAGGCCAGAGCCAGTTATGCGACTGGCTGCTGTGGGAGAGACAATAACATAAAAGTTATATTTTATAAGTCAATATGAGTTACAATCACCATCAATACAATGACATAATTTTGAACATTTTGCATCTCCATATATAAAGGATCATAAGCAGGGCTGTGTAAAATTGGTACTGAAGATCATTATCATTGATGACCCTAAAAATTCTTCCAGTCTACTCCACATTGTTTATAGACTATGGGTAACCAGATCTAATAAAGCTGTCGTGCTTTATATGACATGACCAAGCAGTTAGCAGTTTTACAGCAGCTCTATGAATGTGTGCATAACAATTTTGTGATATGATATTAACCATGGTTAGTTTTGACACAAAGTCATTTGGTAACAACATTTCAATAGCTTTATAGGTTGGGGTTATTGCAGTGGTTACTAGTACATTTCTAGTTTGTAGAAGTTTTAAAGTATCTACAGAATATTACTATGACTAGTCCTGTCAGGTTTGCCCGGCTGCACCTGCCTCTCTCCCCTCTCTCCCTCTATTTTAGCTCCCTTACCCCTGATTTCTTTATCTGACACACCTGCTTCACGTCCCCTGAATCACCACCAGCTGCACCTGATTAGTTTCTTCCTATATATACCGTGCTTATCGTCCACTTCCCTGCCAGTTCTTTCTACACACAAGCCTGTTTCTATGCCGATCTATTGTTTTTGTCTACTTTATGTATTTGCTCACACTCTTCATCCCAGCTCCGTTCCTGTCTTGTGCCCCGTGTCTTATCTTCCCAGCCGCTATCGCTTCTCCGGACCACGGACCTCCTCAACTCCACATCACTCCACCACGCAGGTCGATGCACAGTCTCCCATTAACTGTTTCTGTGACTCTCTCCTCAGCAACCATCACCACAACCAGTCCAGGAGTGAATCCCAGTGTCCGCAGCCCGGCCTCCTCCTTATCATCTCATCACTGACTGTATGTTTTCCGATGTCTGCCGCTCGACACCCGGTTCTGCTCCGTATTCCTTCACCTGGTTGTACACATAATTGTTATCGTCACTGTAAATAAATTGAGCACTTCTTGCACCGAAGTCAGTTACCTGGGTCCGTCATTTTGTACTCGCTCACCTCCCTACCAGAGCGATCCTAACAAGTCATTTGTAGCAGTGTACCAGTATCCGAGCTCAAGTATGTTTGGACAAGATAAGGTGTGTTCTGCCTTGCACTCATTTCTCTGCTCGAGCCTTGCACACTCACTCGTTCTATGCAAGAATATAATCTGAATATATACGTTTTTGTCAAGGTTTCAGATTTTAAAAGTGCATTGTAGAAATATTGCAAGGAAACTTCATGTTATATTTAATGTTTAAATATTAATGGGAGTATAAGAAAGCAGTTTCATGTATTTCATGCATCAGGACAAATGAAAATAGCTTTTAAAAAAAATGTAGGATATCGAACATGCGGTCAACCTCAATCTGTCCCTCAGGAGCATGCGTTAAGCTAGGGGAGATCACCTGAGAAGGTACTAGGTTCTACAAAAAGACTGTCACCAGGCATCCTATCTCAGTGCACTGCAGTAAGATGCACACAGTACAAGTTTAGATTTTAAGCCAGAGATTTAAAGTTTCTTTAAAAAAATAAGTTTTCATCTTTAACACAACTACAGAATGTTGAAATGCAAACAAAAATGAAGGCCTACAACCTCATAAGAAAAATACAGCTGGGTGCCTCTACCAAATTTCACACAAATCCATCCAGTAACTGTTGAGACATTTCACCCACTAGGATTCATCCTGTGGGAACATGAATGTACCAAATTTAATGGCTGTCCATTCATTCGTTACTGAGCCATTTCAGCCTGGTAGATGGACTGAAAAAAAATGACATTGCCATCTATAGAGCATTGCTACTATCAGTTCTGAAAAGAACTGATAGACTACTGGCCCATTTTATTGCAATAAGAAGCTACAATGTGAGCCTCTGCTTTTATCATCCAGTGTTTCAGAAAGCAAATAAATTTGTCCATTCACCTTTGCTTTGGCCTCACTGCCTTTGCCATTGTGCAGTCCATTGTGAGCCCCCCTCTGAATCAGCCTGTTAGAGGCATGCACATCTCACTGGCCTCCTCTGCTCCTTGATCTATTAAACATTAAAGTTGGCCACAGAGACTTTGTGCCAACACCTTTAAAGTATGGTGTCGGACTGCAGCAGCTGCTCATCTGTTTCAGCCTGAAAACTGTCTTACTTATGAAATCTTAGTTCGTCAACAGTAGTGTGTTTTAATTGCAAACTTAAAAAGAAGAGAGTTCTTCTCAGAATGCATCCAAAGTGAGTTTCAAGGAGAACGTATGCAGATACAGTGAACCAGTATAATAAAACATATATCTGTTAGCAAAGCCGACGTAGGCTACGGCAGTGAATTCAGTGTGTGCTGAGGCCAAAGACCTACTGCTATTCCAGGAGATTATAAAATACAGAGGCTACACTTTAGGGAGATGGCATGTTTGTGTGCGTGTGTGTGTGTAACTGTGTATTTTTCAGAATCACTGACCACGTTTCTCTTCTGAAAAAGAGTTTTTGTTTTCTTGCACTTTCCTAATGAAACATATCTTCTCATACAGACTGTGACATCAAAGCTGTCCAGTTTGGGAAATGAATGGCTCTCATACTGATCCCTGCTTCCCCCTGATAGCATTCGCTGAAAGCACAGGACCACCACTTCTTTTTTGGTCCAGTGAGGCAGACAGGGACAAACTGGTAATTCAGCATGGTAACAAAAAAACATGACCTTTTGCATAGGATCTGAGATTAAGACCACTTTCTACAACACACTCATACTGTGGCCAGGCCTGTTTAACACCAGGCTGAGCTATACAGTACAGCAGATGATCTATCATTCACTCTGTTGCACGGCGTGGAACGTGACGTTTACTTCACAGAGTAACTTTCAAGCTAGGGACAGTGATGCAAATGAAGCTGTCAGCTAAAAAGTATATTTTTAAGAAAAAGGTGGTGCAGAGGATTTACAGTATCTGAAACGAGAAAATTGCTGCACTTCGTACAGTCCTGTAGCTGCATGATGAGCTCATGTTTGGAGTTATCATGATACAAATGGAACTTTGTGTGCAGCATTCTGCCCCACCTTAGATTGATATTTAAATCATGCATGATGGCCAAGGCAAATTGATTTAATTAAATGCATGAGCTTTGCTGCCTGTGGAGCCACAGCAAAAATACAAATGGTTGCAATAGGACATGCTCCACGAGTCTTGCCTTGCAGCTCCACATCTTTTACCTGTAATGTCATTATACTGTATTAAAGATCAATACAGTTGGGAAATTTACGAAATGACACATGCATCAAATATTCTATAGTCATCTCAGCAGATGAAAGAGATATTTTTAGACCTGTAACATATCAGAAGGTTAGAGAGTTGCCACACTAATAAAGATCCTACACATCAGTGTTTTCCACCCTGTGTGGAGGCCTCTAACCATTCAGCATAAAGGGAACAAAGAGAAGCTAGGAGCCAACAAAATAAAAATAATGGCTCAGAAAGCTTTCAAGTTCAGGAGATGGCAGTTTTTAAATAAACTGAAACCAGTCAGAAAATGGCTTAGTGCTTTTGTGTTACCATAAAAACAGTATAAATAAATATTGTTGTTCGCATGCATTTGAGTAAGGCTTTACAACCCGGCTTGCATGTTCCATGGGGGTTGAGGAAGTTATGTTTGTCTGAGGTGCAAAGGGGAAAATTCTAAAAGTATGTTAAGAATCCATTTATGAAAATGCTTATTCATGCAGTATCATTACTCTCCACTGAACAAGGATGAAAACAAGCCAGGAACGTAATTTGGAGTTCCAGGTGATATGGTGCAGTCTTTCATTTGCTCGCTAAATCCATCCTTCAGCAGGCTGAGATAGTCTTGAGTCTTTGAAAGTAATTGGACAATGAAACCTTTTCTTCCTCAGACCTTCAAACAGTGTGCGCATGTTCTTCTGTGAGCGTCTCAAGCTGCCTGTCTGCCCATCTTTCCTGGCCCAGCTCTGTTCCACTGGATGAGTCAGTTTTTAATTGATGTGTTCTCTAAGGCATTGCTCGTACAATCTTTGCCTGTCCTTGTGCTCTTCAGGGAAATCACAAATTACAGTGCAAATCCATCACAAAAGCAGTCGCTTCAAACACTTGGAAGAACCTCTCCTCAAAACTGCACCAAGGTACTTGGGCAAAAATATAATAACTTTGACAAGTGTAGTTAATTCTGTTGTGCAAAAAAACCATACTAACATCAGATCCAATCCAGTCTGATGTGTGCACTTTGGGCTTTTGGCTGTTGGGTAGAAATCTGAGAGTAAGTGACAGGGGGCAATGCTGTCAACACTGCCTCCCATTCCTTAAATGTCTAAGTTGAAGGCCCTCATGAGAAGATCCAGGTCACCAATATTTGCAGCCTGGAAGAGTTCGGGCTGGTCCATCATGGATAAAGCTATCCTGAGAGCAGCCCAGATGTTTCCAGACATCACCTGGTGGGACTGCTGGCGACTCCGGCTTTTCCTCTGAAGGCTTAAGGCAGTCAGGAAGTTACTTGCCGCCTCTCTGAGGAAGTAACAATAAATACAGTCAGGGACCGTCTACAAAGTGCAACACTGAAATGAGATAGGCCTATTACAAAAATATTCAATAACCCTTAGTTAGTGAAAATGTGTTTTAAATAGGCTATTGAATAATGTCACTGTTAGCCAGTAGGGTCACCAAAATCATTCATCATTATGGACAGGCCAGAACCCCACTGAAAATGAATTGTTTTGTATGTAGGAAGCAGCATTAGACTGATGGGGGAACAGGTGCATCTTCAGTGCTTCAGGTGAGGCTCCAGTTTTGGGTGGGTAGGTGTCTGGTGGGTGTTCTGTCCCTACAAATGTCCAGACCAAACCTACTCCATTGTTGGTATTAGTGCACGGCGTCTGGTAACTTCACATAAATACCAGCAGAGCTCCACTCTCCTTCAGCCTGAGCAGAAACCGAATCAAACACAATATTGAAAACACTCCTGACAGGACCTTTAAAGGTCTGCTCATTATCTGGCACGTCTACAGTCGGGCCACAATGAGAAAAGGCATGGCTAGGGCAAAATATGCTTAATAATTTACTTTTTCAACAGCTTTTCCATAACATAGCTACAATTATCTAAATCATATCCAGAGTTTAAAAGAAGTGTTCTACTGAGTGTATTTTCTGGATGAGTAACTTTCCTCTCATACGCCAAGAATCACATCTTCTGTTCATCAAGCTACAGTAAGTATTGCCCTTTTGTTTTGCTAATGTACTAATGAAATTTTGTGTTCAGCTGTCTTTTGTGTTCTTGGTTGTTAGTTTATGGCTTCTTGTTAGTTTATCTTGTCGGACCTGGCTATATCATGGTGTCTGCTGGGTACTAGTTTCTGACCATACTGCTGACCTAGTGCTGTATTGGTATTATTTGCTTTGCCATTAGTCTAAATTGATTCTTGTAGTGGTTAAGCTTGTTGCTTTTTGGATGCAGGTGCATTTTTGGATTCTTCCTCACAACTGAATGAGGTATTTGTGAATATTGCATGTGTATTTATAACAAATGAGATGAACAAGTTGGGTTTTCTGTATATTTCCTATTAGGTTTTTGTGAAGTCACATAATTATGTAGGCTATCTGTAACACTGGGTTCACGGGACGCTCAACAGGCTTTTGTCAGACTCAAAATAAATCCAGTTTACATTTTCTCCATGCTTTTTGTAATCACCTATTTCAGAAACATTTCAATTAATAGCAGCAGTTACATTCAGCGCTAATCATTACAAAGTTTAGAGCATGTGCTGACAGTCATCATCACCACAAGACAATTCAAAACAAGAGAGTGTATGACTGGTTCAATGGCTAGAAGGGCTTTGTTGGGAAATGTCCCATGGTATGGCAGCTGGTGCCCAGCCTGCACACAGGATATTTATATAATAGCTGAATTTGGGTTTTACATCCAATGTTTTGTAGTTTTGTAATCAGTCAGTGTTGGATTTGATGTGCATGTTTCGAGTTGTGAGATCAGAGCGTAATATCAAATATAAAGTCTGTACATATATTTCACATGAATTAAATGACTAAAATTACAGTGCATACCTGCAGGCTTTAGCTTTGCCGTGTCATTTTTCCTTTCTTTCTTTCTTTCTTTGCAACTTAAAGTCTGTGTGCCGCTGTCACCTTTTTGACTCTACTCCACTGTATCAAACGAGTTGAAATCTGTCCCACTCACCTGTGTGCCCCCAGGTTAATGCAGCTGATGCCCAGGTTGTACCTGGATCTGATAAACCCCGGCTGCAGCTCTAGTGCTCGTGTGTAAGCCTCCACTGCCTCCTCACTCCGGTCCCCGTTTGCCAGCGTTGCCCCCAGGCGGTTCCACAACAAGTAGTCCTAGATCAAGGGGGAGCGGTGAGTGGGTTGGATGTGGGACAATGAATGTCAGAGGGTGAAGATGAAAAATTAGTTTTAGTGAAGTTTACCATGATAAGTATTGTCAGATGCTTAAATAATATGGATTGTGTATTTAATCAGTACACACATTGGAGAGTTCCTTATTTAGTCTCATTTTAAACTCTTCAGCAGCATCACTTTAGTTATCTTTGAGTCTTACATTCTTAGCATGTTTGAAAGATCTCAAGTAGCTAACGGTGTCTGACAGAAAAGAGCAGCACCCAGCCTTGTAGGAAGTTATAATTCATGCCTTTTCTTTAAGCATGAACAAAGTGTTTTGAAGAATGGCACAGCTCCCTGCTATAAAGTTACCTAGCAAGGGTAATTTAAGGAGAGCGTCCTTAAATTACACTGGGCGTCCTTGTCATTGTTTCTCACCTGCAGGCATTGGGCATATACAGAGGTCATGGTCTGCCACAGTATAGGGGTCCTAGATCTCTGGCTAAGCCTAGCAGTGTAATATACTCATCTCCCTTTGTGTTCAGAGCTATTTTTCCAGCAGGGGAGCGAATATTAGCAAGTCAAATATGGGAGGTTGGATTTAACTGTGAGTAATATTGGTGCCGGCCTGGGATGATGCTAGGAGGACAGACTCATTTGCATTGCAAAAATTTGTGGTTGTACTGACGTGCATGTTTGTTTTGTTCGCTGTCTGTGTGCATTCCAGTCTATTAATATACGAGTCAAAGAAACTTTCTAGTTTTCAGTGTAAATGTGCATGCTCTACATCTTGCTCTTGTGCTGGATTGTGAGTATGTAAGAGCGTGTGTGTGCCAGTCAGGAGTTCATGAGGCCAGATTTGGCACCTCCTTGCTTCACATATTAGCGTGACAGCTTGATGTGCATCACTGCATCTGTTTGCATGTGCTCTCCTTTGGTATTTGTGGCTCCAGCCCTCTAAGGATGTACACACACTTGAAGGCTTTATGTCTGCTGTGTGTTTCTGTCCTTGTATTTTTTCATATTGAAAACGGTGACTCACCACTAGCCTTGAATGAGGATATTCATTTGGTCTTACTACCATTTTAGCTTGTTTGCAGTGAAGAAGTGGCTCTTTAAAAATCACATTAAATCACAGTGCCAATATTGCTTTAAAAAGCTGCTATTAGGTTATTTTCCCAAATTATTCAAAAGATTATTTAAATAATTGCTGAGCTAACATGCTAAGATAATTTCGGCCACGATAGTCACTGTGAAATATTCATGTTGGCTCATACCTCTCTGTGACTTATAGCAACTTATTCAAACAACCAGCTTCACTGGCTTCCTGTGAGGTGAAAACAAACAGTATCCGTTTTGCTAAATGTATTGTATGTGAATATCTGAATGAGCCTCTGAGCAGGCAAATAGTATTTTATGAAAGGTGTGGATTTTCCATCACTGGCACAAAAACAGTACCAGCTGGAATCAAACAGCTGCAACACATCTGTCATGTCTCTGCAATGTTACCAGCCGTAATATAAAAATCTCAAAATGTGTTAAAGTAATGGCATGACTAGATGACTCTGTGGGTATTGGAAAAATACATCTTGGGGTGAACTGATCCATTCAGAATGTGCTCATCATCTACAACTGAAATGCTAATGTACACTGTATAGCACTACCTGTTGTGTTCTAACAAGGCAAAATACTGTAATAATTGAGAGTCCCTTGATTTACTCTTTGTTATATTGCCACATAAAGATGCTTTGTTTAATAAGTGATGACCAAAGAGAGAGGCCTGTTGTCATTTACACTTTGATTAAGATTCTGAATTAAGTGTATTGCCTTGCCTACCTCTCGGGCATCTCTACCTCTGACAAGCATTTGTAGTTATACAGCTTCACTCTGACTAATCTGTGTTGTGTTTTTGTGTGTGTGTGTGTGTGTGTGTGTGTGTGTGTGTGTTTTTAGGAGTCCTACCTCGGGCCGCACTGACAGTGCTGTATTGAAGGCCTCCACAGCTTTGCTGAACTCTCCGCTGAGGTTGTAGAGCACCCCAAGGCCTGTCTGTAAATCTGGGTCAATGCTCTCAGAGTTGTGCTGAACTGCTTCCAGGAAGAGTTCCTTGACCTCGGGTAGCAGGGAGCTGTGGGCGCACACAGACGCACATAAGGATTAGTGTGACTTAAGGCTGCTGAGGAAGGGTGCTTAAGATCGCAGTGCTGTCATGTGCAATGCCCTGCTTGTCAGCTGTTAATGTAAGAAAATGAGGACAATGAGGGTAAAGGAGAAATAGTAGGACGGAGCAGGAATAGTAGCTTAGTATTTGAACTCATTGTAAACCCTTGATAGCAGTCAGAAAGCAGTAGTGTTGGGGGTAGGATGAAGGAGCCTTGTTTTCGTCTTTTAATTAATTAATGAAATATGAAGTCCATGTTTGAGTTCCAGATTAACTCTCTTCACTGTTGACAGTGTTTATTGTTCTGCTAAATGAATGTTATTAACCTGATTCTCTATAGTCTTGTATCAGAGCACTCTTAGTTGTGTATTGTTCACATTCATCCAGCTAATATTCTGAACATGTTGTGTGACTCCCTGCAATCTTTACATTATTTTGAGTGCCTGACTCAGTTTGGAGAACCATTACACAAAAGTGACAATTTAAAGAAACTGCAGCTAGACAGCTACTTCTGCCTCAGTGGTCATTTGGTCCTTAGCCTTTGGTTAAAAATACCCCATTACTCTTTATGTTATGTGTCTGTTTCCACGAGACTGGACATATCAGTTGGAGGGAGGATAAAGGAGGGAGAGGAACTGCACAGAGGAGTCCAGAGTACAATAATGCTAAAGAGAGAGCGATGAGGTGAGGAGCAGAAATGAAAAGGATGGAATTACACAGATCAGAGGGGCAACTGCAGTAAATGGGATGTAGCCTACCTGTATCTTTTCACACTGACTAGACTAATTTAATAAAGTGATGCTTTACCTTCGATGCAGAAGGGAAGCAAAACACTTTCTGATTTAAACTTCTTAAATGAGAAGATTTGCAGTTTTTTTTGTCAATAGTAAACTGAATATAGCATAATTGAGTTTTAAACTATTGATGGAAAAATTGCATCTTTGATTCTGCATAGTTGAGGAGCATTTAGCTATTTTTTAATTAATAGACTAAACATTTGGCAGATTATTCAGTAATGAGAATACTATAGTTGTAGCCTATAATCCTCCAGTGCCATCAGAGACGTATTGTATTTAAAGATGCACCGATTGAAATTTTCTGGGCCGATGTCAAATTTATTTATTTTTCTAACTGTGACCAGCCAATTCCGATTTAGTCTTCAGTTCTTACATTTAACAAAGTTGTAAAGGAAACATTGCGATCGATAAAAATCCTAGTGATGTTATCATCAGCTTTCAACTGGTCTGGATTTAGACTCTGGCTATTCGGGGTCAGTACCCTACCTTTCATGTCTGCCCATGTTGGAAGCATGAGACATCCTGCGCTGAGAGTTTGGGGATCCCATCAAGTGGGTCTTGCCCTTCAGCAGGTGCTTGTACTTTGAATTGTGTTGCAGCCAGCCGAGCAGGGCCTCGCACGCGTCATGGCACATACCGGTGTTGGTCAGGCTCACTGCCAGAGCCATGAGAGCTGGGAGGTTGTTTGGGTGGAGCTCCAAACACCTGGATGTAGACAGGACCCGGGCATGGGAGAGGAGAGATGGTGTAAGGTGCCTACTTCAAACACAAATCTAGGTTTGACAGGTGTGAATTGAGAGAAGCCGAACATTAGGTGGAGACTAATGATTTCTGGGTCAGGGATGAGCTGCACTTGTCCTGCTCTGCCTCTGCTGCAGAGGACCAGGTTTGTATATTGCCACAAGCAGCAGGATCAGATAATTTGCATTAGGTTTGCATTTAGGAAAAAAAAACACCCTGGTGATTGATCCAGGATTCCTGGAACAACCCCAGGTTTTCAACTAGGCACGCTACAGCCAAAAAACAGCAGTACAGTAGCATTTGTAACATGATGCTTTCCATCTGAAGTAGTGCCAGTGTAGCAACAACACAACTAATGCCAAATAAACATCTAATCTCACTTCATACCAAAAACACTCCACTCACAGATGGAGCTAATAAAGAAGGTAAAATATACAACACAAACTACCTGAGATATGCATATATGTGCTGGAAGAGTAGACCTCTACAGTATGTCATTTAGGATGTTGTCTCTTGTGTTTTCTGTTGACTTGTCGGTGCTCACACCCCCAGATAGTGCAATTTCTGGCTTTAGCAGTCTTATGAATGAAAGTAGGCCACCTCCCATTGAGGACTCTGTTCAAACCCTGACTCTGTGCAATCACCATCCATGTAGGGGTGCCTCTATTTTAAGAAGAAAGCTTTCTTTCCAGTTGCTGGTTTAAAAACGTTGCTAACTGTAGAGGGAAAGATTTTGTTTTTGTGGCTGTAAGTGTAACAGATCATTACATTAGAATTTAGTTTTCCCTTTTTTGTTCTTGCTAAATAGGCTGCTGACAGAGTTCAATGAAAACCTCTCAGGCAAATGTCATATGGTGGGATTCAACTTTTATCCTGGTGTTTTCAAAGAGTTCCACTTGTGCAAATATATGGTATCCCTGAGCAGTAACAGCTGACAGCTCCGTCATGTCTGACAGCAATTTCTGATGCAGTTGTTTCTCCTACCTCTGGAGGGAGACAATTGCTGCCTGCTCATTCTCATTTTCAGCCTGGGTTGTCCCCAACACTTGCCAAGCCTGAAAGAAAGCAAAATATAGATAACAGTAAAGAGCAGGATGGGAGGTTGGTATTGTCAAGGGGCTGAAACAGTCACAGTGGCTAAGCATCGTCTGCCAGGCACAATAATGGGGATCCCGCACTACTTTTATAAACAAAACCCCACAGATTCCACAGCATCTGAAACTTTCATGATGCCAAACAAAGGCACACACAGTGTTTAAAACTTGGTATAATGTTTAGATTTGAGATTTGTTCTTGGATACTCTATTAAATCATCCAAGCAATAAAAACTATTTAAGCTATCTGGGATGACTTGTTGGTTTCTGTGTTGTCTCTTTAAAAAAGCGAAGCAATAATTTAGATGAGTAATTTGCATTTATTTAGACCTGAACAAATGGTGAATTAGGCAGTCAACAGAAAATTAATTAAGGTCTATTTTAATAATGAATTTATCATTTGAGTCATTTTCATACTGACAGTTCTACAGGTAATATTGTTGAGTAAACTGTGAAACCTTGAATGTGACTGTGGAAAGCCATGGTGCCTGGTCTGTGTGTAGGTTTCGGGCCACATCAAGAAAAAGCAAACTGTACCTCTTGATCTGCACAAGAGTAGAAAATGATGTAACTACCTCAAAATGCAAAATATGAGATTAATCCCTCTTTATTTTGCCTGTAAGGGCACACTTAATAACCTGTCCTGAAGCAAATCTGTGTAGAGGGTTTTTTTTTTTGTTCTACTCTTTGAAATGAGGAATGAAATTATTTCTGAACGATTCAAAGGTCTTCACAGAGGGGCAATAAGCCACTAAGCACCCTAGGAGGAATTTCAGAATCATATTAGTTCCATATACTGCAGGATAATCCTCTCTTTGGAATAACTGGCACATTTCTGTATATTCTAAGAGTACTTAGCGTGAAGGCTTTGCTCTTTCAGTCTGCAAAGAGGTCACTTCTTTTTGAAACAGGGAGAACACAAAGTAGATTAAAAAGCCTATGCAGTGAGCTATTATTCAGCTCATTGGGCAAATGGAAATTTTCTCGTATTTTTTTTCCCTATAGTAAACAAGTGATTGAACAGGGGAAACATCCTCTGCCCTCTATAGGAAATCAGCACCCAGCCTGTGGGAGCTTCTTAATACTGTCAATCTGATTCACACAGCCTGTGGTCAGTGAGGCATTCTTCCTTTCTAGTTCCTCTCAGCACGATGTAGACTAAGTGGGGTTGATTTTAACCCTAAGTTTTCTAAGTTTCAACTGCTCCACTGCAGTTTTAGTGTAACACTCCACATCCCAGCTGTAAATACATATGTCTCCATGGTTAACTTGACTGGTTGACTAAAGGAAAAAAAATGTGTGCGTGTGTGTGTGTGTGTGTGTGTGTGTGTGTAATAAATGAATTTACCTCTGAATCATTAGGGTCCTGCAAGACAGCTGCTTCCAGCAAGAGCACTGCATTTGGCAAGTCTCCCTCTCGAGACTTCTTTAGTCCCTCTTCAAATGCATTAGGCAAGTCCTTATAAGGATTATCTGTGTGGAAGTAGTAACCCTGTCAGGGGGAAAAAAAACAGGGACTGTGGCAGTGTCAGTTTCTCTCTCTCTCTCTCTCTCTCTCTCTTTCCCATATTCACATGCAACTATCCTCTGTGAGCTCCAGCAGGCTTCTGCTTCACATCAAACCTGCACTCGGCTCCTCTGGGTTCATCTCCTCTCTTTAAATGTTACACTTTGCATTTTCAAACTGCCATTACCCTGGTGGTGTGTTGTCTGGTTTTGAGCATAGTGACATTTTTGAAACTGCTTTTTCTTTAAGAACTAGGTCTGCACTGGGTTAAATCAAAAAGCCCAGAAGTTCGATCTTGTGTGATATAAGGAGGCCAACGGGTGGATGAAGATTAGCCTCATGCTCTGTCCTCTGAAAAGCACAAATGTATCTTTTTCATCAGCAAAAGTGATGCTACATGCAGGCTTTTATATTAGTTCACATGTGTAGTAAGTTTTGGGGGAAGAAATGGTGCAAATCATTCTGTACATTTAAAGTAAAAAGCAACCAATCTCAAATTACATTACATGTTCTTTTGTCACTGAGAATGTGGCTGGATATAGGATCCTCTAATCTCTTGACCAGGTCTGGACAGACTCGAGTTAGATGCTCCCCAGTCTTTTTGCTGACCTTATCTTTTCCTGGATGTTGCTGTTGAACTAAATCCTTTAATTTTGAGGAATAGGCACATTTTGAGCTCTCAGTGGAGAGAGGACTGAGTGCTCCCTTCTATTGAAACCCCGTCTGGGATTCATGAGTGAGTCTGGTGTATGTTTACATAAGTCAGAAGTACAGTAGCCATACTGTATTGTACTTGATGTTGAGTAGTGGACTTCATGGTATAACTAGACATGGACACATTGTTTAGTCTACACAGACTGTCAGTGCTGTACATTATACAGTGCCTTGCGAAAGTATTCGGCCCACTTGAACTTTGTGACCTTTTGCCACATTTCAGGCTTCAAACATAAAGATATAAAACTGTAATTTTTTGTGAAGAATCAACAACAAGTGGGACACAATCATGAAGTGGAACGAAATTTATTGGATATTTCAAACTTTTTTAACAAATAAAAAACTGAAAAATTGGGCGTGCAAAATTATTCAACCCCCTTAAGTTAATACGTTGTAGCGCCACCTTTTGCTGCGATTACAGCTGTAAATCGCTTGGGGTATGTCTCTATCAGTTTTGCACATCGAGAGACTGAAATTTTTGCCCATGCCTCCTTGCAAAACAGCTCGAGCTCAGTGAGGTTGGATGGAGAGCATTTGTGAACAGCAGTTTTCAGTTCTTTCCACAGATTCTCGATTGGATTCAGGTCTGGACTTTGACTTGGCCATTCTAACACCTGGATATGTTTATTTGTGAACCATTCCATTGTAGATTTTGCTTTATGTTTTGGATCATTGTCTTGTTGGAAGACAAAGCTCCGTCCCAGTCTCAGGTCTTTTGCAGACTCCATCAGGTTTCCTTCCAGAATGGTCCTGTATTTGGCTCCATCCATCTTCCCATCAATTTTAACCATCTTCCCTGTCCCTGCTGAAGAAAAGCAGGCCCAAAACATGATGCTGCCACCACCATGTTTGACAATGGGGATGGTGTGTTCAGGGTGATGAGCTGTGCTGCTTTTACGCCAAACATAACGTTTTGCATTGTTGCCAAAAAGTTCGATTTTGGTTTCATCTGACCAGAGCACCTTCTTCCACATGTTTGGTGTGTCTCCCAGGTGGCTTGTGGCAAACTTTAAACAACACTTTTTATGGATATCTTTAAGAAATGGCTTTCTTCTTGCCACTCTTCCATAAAGGCCAGATTTGTGCAGTATACGACTGATTGTTGTCCTATGGACAGAGTCTCCCACCTCAGCTGTAGATCTCTGCAGTTCATCCAGAGTGATCATGGGCCTCTTGGCTGCATCTCTGATCAGTCTTCTCCTTGTATGAGCTGAAAGTTTAGAGGGACGGCCAGGTCTTGGTAGATTTGCAGTGGTCTGATACTCCTTCCATTTCAATATTATCGCTTGCACAGTGCTCCTTGGGATGTTTAAAGCTTGGGAAATCTTTTTGTATCCAAATCCGGCTTTAAACTTCTCCACAACAGTATCTCGGACCTGCCTGGTGTGTTCCTTGTTCTTCATGATGCTCTCTGCGCTTTAAACAGACCTCTGAGACTATCACAGTGCAGGTGCATTTATACGGAGACTTGATTACACACAGGTGGATTCTATTTATCATCATTAGTCATTTAGGTCAACATTGGATCATTCAGAGATCCTCACTGAACTTCTGGAGAGAGTTTGCTGCACTGAAAGTAAAGGGGCTGAATAATTTTGCACGCCCAATTATTCAGTTTTTTATTTGTTAAAAAAGTTTGAAATATCCAATAAATTTCGTTCCACTTCATGATTGTGTCCCACTTGTTGTTGATTCTTCACAAAAAATTACAGTTTTATATCTTTATGTTTGAAGCCTGAAATGTGGCAAAAGGTCGCAAAGTTCAAGGGGGCCGAATACTTTCGCAAGGCACTGTATATCAGTGTCATCAAGACAAATGTCACCACATACTAATTGTAACATTTTAGTCACAGTGACCTTTTCATGTGGAGAGACAGTTGAGGGAATCTGCGCCTGTTCATTCTCCGTCAGCCAGTTTCGCCGAGCGAGCTCTTCCCACTCCGCCTGCATCTTATCCCAGAACTCAGTATCTGACTACAGTCAGCAGAGGGAGAGCACAGGACGTGGTGGGAGGTGGAGAAAGAGGGGAGGGTGAGAAGAGAGAATGAGTGATTACTGCACAGTAGAACAACAGCTCTTGTAATTTCCCAGCATCCTACAATCTGTCTGGCTCAGTGGCTTGAGGTAATGTATGGACTCCACACTCATCACATTTGCAAGTCGAGGCAAAGTTTAAAGGAACAATACACCATATTAGTACCTGTTTCCACTAACCAAATTTAAAGTATCAGTGTTTTCTGATGTGTAAAATAATTTACAGTAATATATGTTGGTGTAACTACTAAACTGTTTTCAAACAATCAGTTAAATGCACAAATTCTCATCTCACCTGTAAGACAAAAAATTTGAATGCATTTATGTGGTCAAAAAATGTTGAACTGGCTCTTTAAAGTTTCTATTAGCTTGACATTTGAACTGTTATTTGCAGACCTATTAATTTGCTGACCAGATGCTTGAAGGTCATCGTTGGTGACTAAATGGTTAATGTCAGATCATCTGCACATGCATCAGCTTTTTTCTTCAAACCACCACCACAGTTTTGAGTACATTTTAATTAAGATGTTTTGATAGTTATTTTCTTTACCTGCAAAGTACGTAACGCATAGTTCTGTCTAAATGTAAAAATATTTAACAGCAACCTTGCAATGAATAGTAAACAGACGGTTGTAAAAAAATAACAGCTTCTTTAACAGCAAATCTACATGGAATCATTGACTTCCCACTTCTTTTAAAACAGTAATTCAGTAAAAAAGTGATTAAGTTGAGAGAAGCAGTTAATATTTAATATAATTGTTTATTTTTTATTTAAATGCACATTTTTTTGAATGAAAAGCACACTGACAGCCACTGTACTGGAGTGAAATTCCTTGTGTTCAACCTATTTGGCAAATAAAGATGATTTTAAAATTTGCTAAAGAGAAAACTGCACATTTCCACATTAAAATGTTGCCAAAAATGATTGTACACTTCAGCAATCAACAGTGCCATAGTGTGTGTGTGTGTATGTGTGAGCCTCCACTCTGCACCTAACTGTTTTAATCATAGCAATGTTCTTTGGGTGATGAGTTTGCCTCATTTCATAACTTGACATTAAAAAAATCATTCATTTGTACTTTGCCTCAAACCCAGCGCTCAATTAGCTCCAAGTAGTGTGTGTGTGTGTGTGTGTGTGTGTGTGTGTGTGTGTGTGTGTGTGTGTGTGTATATGATTCAGAGTAAAGGGCAACTCGATAAACCGCTTTCCTCTTGAGTTTGACTGTTTATTGTGGAGGCACAGGATGGGTGTGGAAAACCTGAACCACTGTCTGCTGTTGGCGAACACCGTTGTCACATATGCAGTTAACGTCATGCCTGTTTTTTCGTGTGTAGCACTTGTAACGTTCCAGTTGCCACAGTGGTGTGTGTGTGTGTAGCTTTTTTTCTTTTTCTTTCCCCACCTCGATGACTCCATGAGTCTTTGGCTGTCTTCCTGTCCGAGGCAGAGCAAACTGGCAGAAATGATGCCAAACAGAGCACAACAGCATCCTGTGACTTATTGAGTCCTCTGCAGCCAGAAACCCATCAGTTCATGACAGCACTGTGTACAATAAGGGTGTGTAGTGATACTGTGGGTTAGGGTCGGAGAGTGTGCATGTGTTAGAGGTCTTCTCATTTCCACATCTTAGTTTTGTGATTGGCATGGAGGCCATAGTGTGGCCCGTGATGGTGAGAGATGGTAGGTAATTGCAGGCTGCTGCCTCTCAGGCAAATTGCTTGTTGGTTGTCTTAGGAAGTGCACTATCCTGAGGTGGAAGAAATGCACGGAGGGAGGCAATGGGTGGGGCTGTGAAGTCATAGCTATCATATGCAGGGACTTGGCTTTAGAGTAGCATGTACAGTAGAAACTCAGTTCTCAGCTGACAATACACTTCATGCATATGTAATCAAAGTATCAGAAAACTAATTGTTAGATCTTGAGTGGTAAGAATTCATTACAATTTATAGGGTGTTCATTGCTCCGTTTTTAACTCTAAAAAAGTTTAATCTGCCTATTGTGGGTTTTTTTTTTTATAAGCTGACCATTATACTTTGATATTTGGGTTGCAAGCGAGAACAGACATATTTACGGCTCCTCTTGTCTGTTCTACACTTCAAGTCTTTTGAACATACTTTACAACTACTAAATGCCTCAAAGAGGGAGAAGGGCTAATAAATCAGAAGTGACTGAGGATATGGAGGCAGAAGAAATTCAGCACAGAGCGGCGCAAGTAATGGACATCGTGGGCAATCTCAAACAGATGTACATCGCGTTGATGAACCAACAACAGGAAAACTTCAAAGGCTTCGTGCAACTAATTATGGAGACAAACAACAGGAGATTCGACAAAATGACCAGAGAAATACAGGAGATAAAAACGAGTTTGCAGTTTACCCAGCGAGAGGTGGATGTGATAAAGACTGCCATGGGTGAACAGAAAAAACACGCCAAAGAAGCGAAGGATGAGGTTTACAGAACGTGTGAGAGTTTAATGACTATAACGGATAGAATGGAGCATCTGGAAGCACAGTCCAAGCGAAAAAACCTGATCTTTGAGGGAATCATGGAGACAACTGGAGAAAGCTGGTCGGAGGCAGAAGGTAAAGTGAAGGAGATTCTGAAAAATAATCTGCAAATTCATCAAGAGATTGAGATGGAGCGGGCTCATAGAATTGGGAAACCTACGGATCGTGGTCCAAGGGCGGTTCTGGTGAGGCTGATGAAAGAGAAAGATAAGGCGCAAATATTGCAACAAACGAAGAAGCTCAAAGGATCTAACATTTACATAAATGAAGATTACACCAAGTATGTGAGGATGAAAAGAAGGGAATTGATGCTGAAGTTAAAGGAGGCCACGGCGAGGGGAGACATCGCGTTCCTGAGGTATGATCGACTAGTGACCAGACCTCGGAACCAGGACCCAGGACCAGCAAGCCCAGGATGCCAAGACAAGGAGATGAGGGGGTAGCTGGACCCTCTCGTGTCTGAAGAGTCACGCAGGTATATCGATATCTGCGATGGCAGATGAGCGTGGAAACTAACAACAACAAGTATGACCCATGTACGGAATGAGGCAAGTGATTTGTTACAGAAGTTAATAGATTTTGAGGGACTGGAGCTGGAACTGAACACTATTGGAGATTCTGAAATTCATCAATCATGAACCGGATGAAGATCTTGACCCTGAAATAAATTTTTTTAAGAGCTCTGAAAATATCTGCAAGTATTACACGGATGAGCAGTTTAACAGCAATGTCAAGACTGAGAACAAGCTATCATTAATTCACTTTAATAGCAGAAGTTTATATGCAAACTTTCAGAGTATAAAACATTATCTTAGTAGTCTAAA